TCTCTTGTTAGCCAGTCCCTGTTCATTGCTTTTCTCTCTCTTTTTTTTTTAAATGAATTTTTTTATAAAGATTTTATTTATTTTTTTTGACAGAGAGAGACACAGCGAGAGAGGGAGCACAAGCAGGGGGAGTGCGAGAGGGAGAAGCAGGCTCCCTGCAGAGCAGGGAGCCCGATGCGGGGCTCGATCCGAGGACCCTGGGATCGTGACCTGAGCTGACGTCAGACGCTTAACGACTGAGCCACCCAGGCGCCCCTTTTCTCAGTCTTTCTGGCAAGCTATTTTTGCTGTAAAGGAGCCTGGGGTTGCTGTGGGTGGTGGAGGTGGCGTCACAAGCCCTAGAGGGTGCAATCACAGTGACCTGATGCAGAGCCCGGGAGGCTCTACGAAGGATAGCAGATAATGATGTTGAGTCGCAAGGAGTTTGTTTTAAGTAGTCTGGCTTAAGAAATGACAGTAGCCCGTGGCCAAGCCTTTCCTGGGGGTGTCCTCCTCTTAGGGTGTGTGTTTTTAGCAGGCCATCCTTCCAGGGCAGGGGCCCCAGGAGGCAGGCACCTGTGTGCTGGACTAGCTGACCTCTAGGTCTTTCCCAAGACCCTGTGGACACTGGCAGCGAGGAGACCAGCACTGTGGTGTCACATCTTCCCAACCCACATGTCAGCACACGTGGGTGGGGGATTCAGTAACTCAGTCATCACAAATATTCACTAACCTCCTACTGTGTGCCCGGCATGGTGCTAAGGTCTGGGGACACAACCGTGAGTCCTTCACAGCTCCCACCTCAGAACGGCCCCCCGTCTGGCTGGGGGACAGACCCACACACGTGTGGTGAGCCCCAGCTACACATGGGGCAATTTGAGCACAGGGGAGAGGTACTCAGCCCAGTGAGAGCCAGAGCGGGCTGCCTGGAGGAGGAACCAAGGCGACTGAGTCTACAAGAATGAACAGGTGTTGGCTCGGCCAGGCAAAGGGGAACATAAAGGTGAGGAGAGGAAAGGTGGATTGCTTTCCTATCTGCACCACCCCGTGTAATAATAATGCAGTAGAAGCAAGCCATATGAAGAAGGGAAAATGACAAAGTGTAGGCCTTTCGAACTTACAGACCCAAGTTTAATCTCCTCTCCTTCGCACAAGGGTCTCAAACTCAGTGTCCAGCTGTCCAATATCTGAGCTGCATGTCCCCTTCATAGTTCCTCCCAGCAGTCGTGGGAACCTGAAATTCCTGGGACTGCAGATGAATGCGTCCTGATAGTCCTCGCCTCACTCAGGGACTGTCGAAAATGTGGGCCCCTTGGTAACCAGTGCAGTGTGCAGAGCATGGTGGGTGCTCATCAGATCCTTTCTTACAGCCATGTGTTAGCACCGACCTGTCAGGATGATAAGCGGGAACTCGGCAGTTAGAGGCAGTCACCAGTTACGTGTGCTATTATACTTACAGCTGAACACGGGCCAGGCCAAAAGATAAGGCTGCAAGAGGCCTCCCTGTGTCAGCCACCGGCCTGAGGAGTCAGAGGAGAGCCCTTCCTGGGGAGGGACATCTCTGCTCGTCTCTACTGGGGGTGGGGGAGCTGAAGCCTCTAGGGGGTGAATTCCAACCTGGGCCAGTTTCTGTTCCCCAGCCCTCTGGGGACTAGCCCCAAGGCTCCATTTCCTTCCTCTGCTGCTGGCCTCAGCTTTTTGGGCAGATAATGGGAAGTCCACGGGGGGCAGTGTGCTTTTACGAAAAGCAGCCTTGGAGACAGCTGGACCTGAATTTGAATCTTAGCTCTGCCACTTCAGCTGTGCATCCTTGAACACATCACTTTCTCTGAATCTTGGTTTCGTCATCCATAAAATGGGGTTAATCACATCAATTTTTTTTTTTTTTTAATGGCTGTTGTGAAGATCAATGGATAGCACATCTAAAGCACATTCTTCAAACCTTTTATCTCTCTGGGCTGGGTGTAGTGGCTGCATTCATTCATTAAACAATTATTGGTTGTCTGCCTTTTGCTAAGCTTTGTTCTGGGTTCTGGGGAAACAGTAAGGAACAAAATGCCCTGCTTTCATAAAGCTCACTTTATTCTGATAAGGAAGCTAGAAAATAAGTAAGTAAACCCATAAATAAACAGGTTTAATTTCAGATAATGATAAGAGCAACAAAGACAAGGAAACAGGCTGGCGTAGCAGAGGGGGATTTGGTGGGAGGCCTGAGAAGTCTTCAGGGAATGGGTGATATTTAAACCAAGAAACGAAGGCTGAGAAGGAGTCTGCCTTTTGCCAGGACCTGGGGAAGAGCATTCTAGGCAGAGAAACAGCAAGGAAGACATGTATTGAGGAGGGAGGGTGCCTGGTACATGCAGGGAAGAAAGAAGGTCCTTGTAGTGGAGCGTCGTGAACCCTGAGGAGCGTGGTATGAGCTGAGCTGGTGAGCTGGAGTGAAGGCCATGCATGCTCCCAGACGCTGTGCTGAGGTGTCCCAGGGCCCTGCAGTGAATCCACAGGGGCTCCATGGGGTAGGTTTAATGGTTAAGGCGACACTTGACATCTGTTGGACTACTACTAGTCAGGATGGTTTGCAGTTTCACCATTAAATTGCTTTACATGCTTTTTGATAACAGCATATCTTCATGAAGCTGGCTTTTTTAGTGGTTGCTGTGATAAAAAGCAAGCACCATGGGAACATCAATATAGAATAGGAAATAAGGGTGGTAGTGTCTAATCTGATTCCAAGGTTTGAGGTGCTGTGTAGTACCCAACTAGCACACACATCCCATTAGTAAGTAGTTGGTTATTTAAGAATGCAATAAAAATATGATCCCCCCCCCCATTTTTATGTATTATTTTTCCTAATGGCTATTCGGTTATTAGAACATAAATACTTATTACATTGTTTGGGCCTAACTACTTAATGAACAGACCCTTAGGTGTTTCTTCTGGCCCAGAGGGACTGTGAAATTAATTACTGAACCACGAAGGGCACTCTGAACAGAGAAGGTTGGAAACTGGGCTAGGGATGCATGCTCAGGGAAATCTTTCGCATTTTAAGCCCTGGGCCTGTTAGTAGGTGTTTGTCTCGCACAGACTCAGGAGTGTGTGTTTGTGTGTGCAGGCAGCCTGTAGGTTTTCTAACTCGGGTGTCCCTGGCCAGCGGGACCATTAGGATCGCCTGGGGGAATTTACAAAACAATAGTTTACTGTCCTCAGCCCTGGATATTCTAATTCAGTGTGTCTGACAGAGGAGTCTGAGTTTAAGAACCTGTGCTCTAATCCGCATTCCTTTAGGCAGCCAGGATAGCTCAGATTTGGGGGTCCTGGTTGTTATCCGGTGTCCCTGGGAACCAGGCTGTGGCCCGGGGCAACCGTGTGGCCTTTCCGGACCTCCTGGCGGGGAAGGGGTGCGGGCACGTGCCGCCCAGAACCCAAGGCCAGGTGGGCGCTGGCAGCACCCATCCCCACACCCCTCCTGGGTGCGCAGCGGCAGTGACCCGAAAGGAAGACTCTTCATCCATAGGAAGTCCCTGTGGGGAATGGCTTCGACCTCCCAGGCCCACTGATCACACACCTCCTCCAGCCGAGCGCCCACTATACCCAAGACGCCAGGAGAGGGTTTTGGGGCGGAGTGGGAGGGGAGTATGGGGGATGGCTGGGTGCGGCCGGGAGAGGGGCGGCCGAGAGGTGGCAGCAGCCGTCCGCACGCCGCTGACGCCGCGGAGCCTCCCTGCCGGGCGTGGACACGCGGGTGGTTCGGGGACGCGCGGGCGGCTTGGGG